CTCAATTTTTGAAGTTGCTGACCTTTGAAGGGATTTTTTTTCTTCTTTTATCTTATTTGATAACCTTATCAGCTTGATTATGGTACAAGGTAAATTCAGCTGACTGGCTTAATTTCTGGAAGATTTTAAGGGGCCAACGCTCAGCTCCCAACTCCTAAACTGTGTGCTTGAAATCTGGGGGAATTGTATCAGGCTCCAACTTGTTCTTTGGCTCCTTGAGGTTAGGAATCCATTGTGGTGCAGGTGCTGAGGTGGTCCCAGACTAAGGTTTCAGCTGAGAGGTCTGTTGGTAACTACACTCTAATGGGTAGTATCATCCAGAGTTTCATAGTGTGGTGACAGTGGGATCTGTCCTAGTTCACATGTGCCAGCAGCAGCTGCAGTGGCAGTGAGGTGAAAGAAGTGCACCCTCCTCAGCTGCAGCAAAATGCTAGTGGGTGCCAGGGTGCCTGCCTCTGTGTGGGTGTTCATCACACTGGTGGAGGAAACACAGCTCAAGGGGACCAGGGGCCCTGGCAGGTGACTGTGCACACGGTTGTGCTGCTGGTGGTATTAGCACAAGGTGTAGCACTGGCAAGCACAGGTCTGTGTGTGTTCTCTGCACCACAGGCAGGGGTGGTCACTCAGGGCAGGGGAGGGTCAGCTGTTTTCTGTGCCTAATTTCACTCTTGCAGCAGTGTTGGTGCAAGAACAGGCTGCTGGTGGGGTTGGGGCTGGTTGTTTCTGTGCCTTCCAGCCTCCGACTGCAGTGGCAGTCAATGCAGCGTGGGGAAGTGAGATGGGCTACACTCCCACCATAGCAGTGGCAGGGCAGGATGAATGCACACACAACACTGGTGGGGTAAGGCAGTCAACACCTGCCTGTGCATACTACACACATGTCCAGCAAAGTGATGTGGGTGGTTGCTGTGGGCACAGGGGAAGCTGCTCTGTGGGGAGGGAGCTGTTGGGCTGGTGCATGGCAGCCACCTTGCTGGAGCTGTCCACTGGTCAGGCATGGTTGCTAGTGCAGGAGCTATGGTGTGGTCTTGCAGGGCACCTGAGGCTGCCCTGAAAGCAGGCATGGCCAGGCTGGGGCCCCAGGAGAGACCAGCAGACCAAGGAGTGCCCAAATCAGACCAGTCTGGTCTGATGAATAAGACCAATGTGCAAAGTTCAGGACCAACAGTTCCCTTAGGGCTAAAGTCTCCTATGAGAGCTAGTTGAGACTAGGTAGATGGTCTGAGGGATGGCTGTCCCTGGCTGTGCTTTGCTTAGCACTGGCACCAGACCATCTGAGTTCCACATCATTGCTGCTCCTCCCACTTCTCTAAGCAGCTATCTTTGCCAATGCGAGTGGTGGTCAAGGGGGTCTCCTCCCGCAGTGATTCCAGAGCCCTGTGGTGAGAACCAGTTGCTTCTTGCCAGGAGTCTTTGGGAGCCAGGAATAAGTCCTGGTGTGCAATAGCCCAGGGCAGGGTTCCTAGCTTCCTCTCACTTCAGCCCAGCTTCTGTGTCTTCCCTCTGTGCATCCTTGGGGGCCTTCCTGTTCCAGTTGGCTGCATCTAGTTGGCCATCTTGCCCTCCCTCTGAATCCATACTTTCTATGGAAAGATTTTCCTAGCCAAACCCATCTTTGGCTTGGCTTCATTTATATGTTTATTTTTATGTAACCTTTTAAAAAAGTGCATTTTAAGTTACCTTACAAATTACCTACAATAAAATACACAGATCTTAAAGATCCATTTGATGAGTATTGACAGTCACAGTTACATGTGTAACCACCACACAAAAGAATCTATAGGACATTTATATCATTCAAAAAGTTTCATCCTTCCACTTTCCTGTCAACTGCCACCCCATACCAACATACAATTACTTTCTAACAACTATAACTAAAGATTAGTATTGCTTGTTCTCAGACTTCATGTAAATGGAAACATATATATATATATATATATTTGTTTCTCTCTTCTTTGTATCAGTATGATGATTTTGAGGTTTGTTCATAATGTTTTGGCTAACACTATGTTGTGCCTTTTTATTGCTATGTAGTATTCTATTGCACAGATTTACTTGATTTTTTAAAGGGGCCTTGCAGGAATAAGAGCCTTTTCTCAAAATATGAATTAGAATCTAATGACTGAAAGAGAAGTGTAGAACTGAAGGGCAGAATGATCTGTGTTGAGCTCTCACTGTGGATTTCCTGTCATATTTCTCTCCTTATTTAGGGACTCACCATTATTAGTGTCAGTGGATTTCTTCTTTCCTCTGTGTGTCAACAGCAGACCTACACTTGATAGCATTTTGGCCAGTAACCTTGTTCTCCAGACACTTGCTATCAATTTCAGACTCCCACTCCTGGGAGCCAGACCTACACAACTGTTCCTATCACTGCTACTCCAGCTTCTCATGCCACCAGCCAAGGAGCTCCTTTGCCCAATTCTCTCTAAGTGCTGCAAGGTGCAGCAGCAGTCCCACATCCTCGACTGCATGTATCTGGCATACAGGTGTTAGTTTTTATAGTGCACCAGGTAGGAGAGATGCCATTGGAGTAGGTGAGGTTCCCAGGACCCTTTTTTAGTGTCTTGTTCTTTTCATTTTCTCACACATACTGATTTGAATGTCAAGACAGGCAGAGCTGGGTCGCTGAGGACAGAGGGGAAGAAAAACTGCTCATCTTGGGACTTGTCTTTGAGAGGCAAATGAACAATTTTTGATCAATTACTGAATAGAACAAGCCTGGATTCTCTGGAGAGGTGATTATGGCATGAAATAAGCACATTCTACAGGTGTTTCTGGGAGGCATAACTCAAAATATACAGTTTTCATGAAGCGATAAAATAAATAATTTTTCCCAGAGAAACAGAAATTGCATTCTGAAGGATGACTTGGCATGATGTCCAGTTAGCTGATATATGGCCTTTTGCAGGTATTCCTTTGCATCCCTGGTGCAGTGAAGAAAGTCATTACTAACAGGGAGAAGCATGGGATTAGTCAGTGGCACAGGGCTGTCACCACTTGTCTTACACTGTTGTTAATTTGTTTAACCATTCTGCTTAGCCACTTATTCACACAGTATTGCTTAGCAGCAAGGAGAAAAGTATTAGGGCAACCAACCTGTGGCTTGGGGCTGTGATGTGTGTAAATGGAAGGGTTAGTTTTATCTGACTGTTCTTTTCTTCCCCATCAGTCTTTCCCCTCTCTTGAAACTCAGGCTCTCAATGGATGAGTAGAATGTGGTATATTTACATAATGGAATAATATGCGATGGTGAAAAAAGGTATAAACTAGAGTAACACGAATTGAAATGGCTATATCTTTCAAAGTATGCAGTAAAACAAAAACTAAATTATATATGTACAATATGATGTCATTAATGCAAAATTTTAAAATACGTGAAATGATTCTGTGTGTTGTCTAGGGATATTTACATGTATGTAAAACTATAAAAATATGCTTCAGGCTGGGTGTGGTGGCTCACGCCTGTAATCCAAGGTGATCTGCCTGTAGGCTGAGGCAGGCCGATTACCTGAGGTCAGGAGTTTGAGACCAGCCATGGTCAACATGGTCTCTACTAAAAATACAAAAAATTAGTTGGACATGGTGGTGGGTGCCTATAATCCCAGCTACTTGGGAGGCTGAGGCAGGAGAATCACCTGAGCCGGGGAGACAGAGGTTACAGGGAGCTGAGATTGTGCCATTGCACTCTAGCCTGGGAGACAAGAGTGGAGCTCTGTCTCTCTCTCTCTCTCTCTCTCTCTCTCTCTCTCTCTCTCTATATATATATATATATATATATATATATATATATATATATATATTTTTTTTTTTTTTAACTCCATATTCAGAATCAGAGTTTCCTTTGGTTGGAGGCTTGGAGAAAAACACACTTGGAAGGGATATATAACTATGCTTGTAATATTTAATTTTCTAAACTAGGCCATGACCCAAATGTATTTGGTATATTGTTATTCAGATATTTTTATGTATTCAAAAATGTTTTACAATAACTAGATAAAAATTAATAAAATAAGATGATTGCTGGTTTATATTGTCTAGATCATTAAAATTCTAAAGTTTTAATATTCGTTCATTTTCACCAACTGTCAAACTCAATATTTTGGCAAAAAAGTGAAATTGGTGTAGAAGTGCATGTTCTCTGTGTCCTCTGATTTTACAACTTTTAAATGTCAATGAATTGTTATTAGAAGGCAGTTTGACCCTCTGAAGCAAATATATGGTATTATGGCCACCTAATTAATGATATGGGACACAGGATTTTAGATAAATGCTGTTGTAACCCCTTTTCTCAGAATTCTGTAATTCCTGTATTCATTTATGAAATTTTTCTTGAGACTGCTATGTCTATTGCTATGGAGTAGGTATCAGGACAGGTGCAGGTAGAAAAAAATGTCACTTTACGCAGCGTAGAATACAAAATAAGAAGCAGAGAAAAAACCATGATGAATTCTAGTCAATTTGCTAAAAGAGAATGAAGCAAAGTACAATGGACATAAACCAATTATGAGCAACTGTACTTAGAATGAATAAATGGGGTTTTCTGAGTCATTTCACTTTGTCCGAGTCTGGTACAGGGTGCTGCAAGCTGGACATGGGTCAAGGCTTTCTGCAGCTGAGATCAAAACTCTCAGACCTCAGTCCAGGGCTTGCATTTCTTTCTGGATTTTCAAGATCCTGTAGCTCAGATCCTGTGAGAAGAGCCCTTTGTCTCATGAAAACCTATGAAGGTTACTCTGGGGATCATGCTGGCCTGGTCTAGAGCTGTGGGCGATGCTGACATCCAGCACACTTGAGGATGCAAGGAGCACCCTACGAGAATAGAGATGCCAAGGCAGAGGAAGAGAAATGATGCAATTTCTTTCTCAGCTTGGGAGAAGGATAGCAGAAATGAACGAGATCTATGAGGAAATTTATATTAGGGGATAAACAAATGAGTTCTGTGCCCGCCTCTTTAAGTCTCTTCAGTGCCATGTTCATTTCTCTTTTTTGATTACCAGGTAGTGCTGTCCTCAGTCTCTTGGGGCATACTTCTTTCCGAGATCTGGCACAAACGACCCCTCAGGGCTTAAAGACTTGCGAATGACAGATGATGAAGGTATGCATCTCTTAATCAAGCTGCCGTATTTGCCCATCTAAAAAGCTGCTTAAAAAACACATCTAGTGGATCTCTGCCTCCCACACTCACACTCACATCTTATTTAACACCAACTTTTACTTTTGGAAAATCTGAAGAAAATCTTATGCAGGCTGTGACCAAAGGAGAGGGCAAGGTAAAAAATATCCTATGGAGGGGAAGGACATGTTTTTTTTGTTTTGTTTTGAATTTTAAATTCAGTTGCTGATTTTATTAGCTGCTGTTCTGACCTTCCAGCTAACTTCAGGATTGTTTAGGTTAAGACTGAAAATGTAAATCTGCATGGCAAGAGCACTTTTCTAAAGGGTGCTCTTTAGGTAGCTCTTCAAATTGTTGGATGATAATGACTATTGCCCCTTACCTTTTGAAGCTGAAGGACAGTCTGCAGCCTGTTTTCCTGCTCAGCTTATCTAGTGAGAACCTACCATGTATCCAGCCCTGGGGTGGATTCTTTCTACCCCATTTAACCCCTCTGCCAGAATAGCAAAGATCAATTTTCAAAAATGTTATTGTCACATATTTACAGATATTAGGGAGAATCCAATAGAAAACCAAAACAATATTGGTAATTATATTCTAGAAAATTCGACTTGTTTTACTCTTGCTGATATTTTCCTTCAGGAAAAGTAGTATGATAGTGAAGATGGTGAAATGATGGGACTTTACAAGGAGATTAGGTCCACAGAACTTAAAAAAAAAAAAAACAGCAAAAAGAGCCAGATGTGCAGGTGCATGTCTGTAGCCCCAGCTACGCAGGAAGTGATGGTGGGAGTATTACTTGAGCCCAGGAGTTTAAATTAGCCTAGGCAATGTAAAACACCTTGCCTAGTAAATCTCCAAGCAAGTCTCTCTAGAAGTATTCTGGGTGCAACAGTTGTCTTCTGTGGGACTTCTCTCTTACACATTACGCTATCAGATTGATCCCCATTTCTGGAAGCCACTGTTGGGCCCCTGCTCCAGTCTGAACTCCCAGGAAATGTACCATAGCTATTCCTCTTCATCCAAAGATTGGGAACACTCACTTAAAAGTAGGTTTATGGAACAAGACAAAGTAGGTATTTGACCATTACTTGCCATTCTTCCCAGTTGGAACATTTGTGTCTTTGTTGAGCTGTTCATAGTGATGAGATGACATAATAAGCCAGATTTCCACCTTTCTCCATGTTGTGCATAATATGCTTTATTGAGTTCTTCAAATTCACTAATATATGCACTGAACTATTCATCCAATGTACATTAATTATCTGCTGAGACCAAGATGAGAGTGATCTACTTAATCAAAAACCATTCATATCTTTGAAAAATATACTTGATATGCCAGAACTAGAGGTTGAAACTTTATATCCCATGACATAAGCACTTTTGTGGATAGTTAGACTTGGTGTGATCTGAGGTGCAATTAAAAGAGCACTGGGTAAAGGGAGTCTTGTTTCATTCCAGGTCTGTAATAAATGACTGTGTAATCATATTAACCACTTTCCCCTAAAAAGAATAAAATTTACTGCTTTTATACAATTTATAATAGTTCCCCTCTTTTGTGTACTTGATATGTGTCAAGACCTGACATGGTGTTTTCTTCACACATTGTTGTTAACCATGGCAACAATATGGCGAGGTTGGTATTATCATACCTACTTCATAGATGAAGAAACTGAGGCTGAGAAATATTATGTGACTTTCTTAGACTTGTATAGACAGCCAGTAGCAGCGTTGGGGTAAAAACCCATTTCTTATCATATCCTGGAGTCTGTTCTCTTTCCACTATACCAAACTTCCTTTCTGTTCAAACCATCAACGTGGTCAGTCTGGACCTGACTAGATCCATGCAGCTGCTGAATCCACTTACCTTGTTTAGAGCAACCAGAATAGAGATGTGTTTCATTGGCTTGAGTGAGGAAAAATGCATTACAATAGGTGTGCTTTTTGTAAAGTGGGCCTCCTTTAAAAGGGATTTGCCTTTTCTATACAGCGTAGAACATTAGAGGGGTTTTGCCAAAATAATATATTTTCCAGTTGGAATCCTTTTCAGGGAGCTTTTGGTTGTTTCTCTCCTCATTACACGGGGTATCAAACTGAAAGTTTTGCTAACCTGGCTACTGAATCCTCAGACACAGTAAAGTTTTCATTTCAGATTTTACTAGCATTGAAAATGTGGCAGTAGGACACATAAACAGTACATCTAATCCATGAAGTCCTTTCAGAGGCAGGAAAGTTGCTTCTCTGTAGTACAAAGGAGATTTTCTATCTGCCACTTCGAAAACTTGTATAAAGTAAACCCCAATTTGGGGTGTTTCTGGAGGGCAAAGGGTGATGTCCCCTATCTGATTGCACTTAGTGATACATTTTAGCCTGTGATTTATGCAACCTGACATTGACGTTCATTTAGCTCAGATTACAAGTGAAGTAATTCACTCGCTAATGAAGTGTACCCTGCATGACATATTGACCATGGGAGCTGACAATCATTGCTTTAAAACAGGCACAGGTTACATCTTCTTTTGTCATTGAAAGTAGGTTATCAGTTAATAAACTTAAAGCAGGGCCTGCTGACCTGCCATTCTTCCAGAAGTATTTTATTAGAGCATCAGAAAAGCGTATACCAAAATTAACATCATACTGGAAAAAAAGAGTAAGAAACTGCATGCCCTCACTGTTGTTCAGAGGAATAGCTTTTCCATGCAGTTATACAAGTTTCCTCCAACTTTTTATTTTGGAACTCTTCAAACCTATAGAAAAGCAGAAAACATAGTACCATGAACACCTTTTTACTCTTCACTTGAATTCATTAGTTGTTAATATTTTGTCATGTATGCACTCTCTTTCTCTTTTATGTATATACACACACACACACACACACACACACATAATTTTAAAGTAAATCACAGACATCATGACATTTCACTCCTAAATACTTTAGCATGACTCCCCTAAGAATCAGGACATTCTCTTCTATTACCAAAATACCATTTTCATGCACCTAAGAAAATCAATAGTTCAATAACATAATCTAATATAAAATTCATATGCCAGTGTCCTCAATAGTCTCCAAAATGTATTTTAAACTTACCTTTATAAAATCCAGAATGCAATAAAAAATTTCACCCTGTATTTGGTAGTTATGCATTTATGCAGAATTTTGTGGGGAATAAAAATGAAAGCACAGGAGCGCTGAGCCACAGTGATCTGCAGGTACAGTGAGAAAGTGCTGGTTATGTCTTATGCAAAAGTATTCCTCAAGCACCTCTCTTATAAAGTATGTTAGCCATGATAGTGGCCATTTTTTTCCCCAAAATATTTCAGTCATTTTACTATATTCAAATTGATGGGAACATGAAATATGGTATTTCCTATCCATATATTTTTTAAACCTCAGTCTCATTGAATAATTGAGTGTTTTATTCTGTTTCCATATAAACTGTCAGATTAGAATTCCAAATCCAGAGGAATTATCCCAACTCCACTCAAAAAGAGAAAAAAAACACAAACTTTTCTGCATACAATGTTTTTCAGCATTATGTTGAGAATGAATGATAATTTTCAAATAATTGAATTTTCTTCTAATACAGACTTTTACTTATTCTCCTGAAAGCAAAATGTGTTGTAATTAAAAATGGAAAGAAAAATGAACATTCAGTAGGGAAAATATAATGGTTTTATTACTGCCATAGACATTTGGAGATCAAGTTTAAGAAAATGTGGTTGAATTCAATGTTGCAAGTGCACGTCTCATCTATAATTACACGTCTAAGGTCTTGTAAAGTGAATGTATAATTGCGTTAGAGTTGCATTTAAAGGAAATATTGAGAAACTGCATTTCATGAATTACAGTTTGCATGGATCTTATGTACTTTATATCATGTCCTTGTAGTTTCATTAGCAGTGCAAAAGCCATTGCAGAAAATAGAAGAGGGGATCTATGACCTTTTATGTTCACTTTGCAGAGGATAGTAACTTTGTTTTTAAAGAAGCAAAACAGCATTATCATCTTCCATATTAAATTACAAAAAGGCTTATGAACAATGCAATATATTTTGAAACAAAAACAAAAATATCTTGTTCATTGGTGATTCCATTGAATTTTAAAATGAGCTAGAAGTTTTTTCCTCCATCTTGATTTATATTTATATATATATATTTTTAGAGACTGTTTCACTTGGTCAATCAGTCTGAAGTGTAGTGACATGATAATAGTTTACTGCAGCCTTGATCTCCTGGGCTCAAGCAATCCTCCTACCTCAGCTTCTAGAGTAGCTGGGACTACAGATGCACCACACCGCACTAGCCAGGACCACTTAATGTTATTAGAGAAAGTGGATTGGTGTTGTAACGACTGTTTACCTGTTCTGGTCCACAGGACGTTTCATACACACACACACATCCTGATAGCTATACATACTTTCTATAAAGTTTAGGGTTATTCTGACCTCTCATAAGAAGCTTCTGGGCTGAAAACATAGCTTCAAAGTGCCGCGCTGCTCCTATCAGTAACAGATGGTCAGACTAAACACATGTCCATATCAGCCTGGCTAAATTGGGTTGCAACTCTAGAGTATCAATTTAGCACGTGCAGAGATTCTTAATTGTTTCACACACACACACACACACACACACACACACACACACACCACCCTAGGCTTGTCTACACAGTTGTCTATAATAAATCTCAGGTCTTCTTGGAGAAATATTTTGTCCCATATTCCTGCAAGGTGCTTCACTTGGTCAGAGAATTAGGACCTTCCTTTATTATTTTTAGTTTTGAGTACCTTCTTGGGGGCAAGCTATAGAAAAAAGTTCGCAAATGGTAAGCTTAGTGAGTTTTCACCAACTGAATGTCCCTACGTAACCAGCCTCCAGATTAAAAAAAAAAAGATCTGAATATTTCCAGCACTTAGGTGACTTCCCTCAGTTCAGGAACCCCAGCAGGAACTTTAGTACCTTACTCATTTTAATCTCAG